GCGGAGCTGGGCGCGGGCGCGGGCGCGGCGGCGGTCACCTCGGTGCTGGGCATGTACGCCGCGGCGGGGCCGTACGCGGGCGCACCGAACTACAGCGCCTTCCTGCCCTACGCCGCCGACCTCAGCCTGTTCTCGCAGATGGTGAGGGCCCCCGCCTCCCGAGAGGCGCCACCGCACCCCCCCCACGCGGAGCTGGGCGCGGGCGCGGGCGCGGCGGCGGTCACCTCGGTGCTGGGCATGTACGCCGCGGCGGGGCCGTACGCGGGCGCACCGAACTACAGCGCCTTCCTGCCCTACGCCGCCGACCTCAGCCTGTTCTCGCAGATGGTGAGTGCCCCCGCCTCCCGGGCGCCGCGCTCGCCTCCCCGCAGCCCGGATCTGGGCTCCGGGGACCCGGGCGGCGGCCGCGCGGAGGGACCGAGCACGGGCAGACGCGGATGTACGCCGCGGCGGGGCCGTACGCGGGCGCACCGAACTACAGCGCCTTCCTGCCCTACGCCGCCGACCTCAGCCTGTTCTCGCAGATGGTGAGTGCCCCCGCCTCCCGGGCGCCGCGCTCGCCTCCCCGCAGCCCGGATCTGGGCTCCGGGGACCCGGGCGGCGGCCGCGCGGAGGGACCGAGCACGGGCAGACGCGGTCTCGGTGGGGACTGGGCGGCGGGCGGCGGACGCCGGGCCTCTCTGGGAGTCTGGAGCGAAGAGGACACTTGGGAGGCGGAACAGGGGAGCTGGGAAGCGGGAGGAGGGGAGCGGAGCGGGCCCCGGAGCGGGCGGCCGGAGGTGGCGGCGAACTCTCCCCGCGGGGCCTGGGAGCCGGGGCGGGCCTGCGGGGTTCCGGCGGCCCTGACGGCTTAGCCGGCGCTCCCCGGGCTGGGCCGCCGGCCTCGCCCGAGGACCTCTGTAGTTTTTCCGCGGGGCCCAGAGAGCCTGTTTTCACCCTCTTTGGCAGAGCGGAGACCGTTGCCTTAGAGTTTGCCAAAAAGGAACCGATTAAAACCTAGTGGAGTGGGTCGAAAACATCCAGACAATAGAGATTCTCACAGCGGAGAGGTCTCTTAATGGCGTGTGCGGGGAGCTGAGGTTACAAAACACGAAGTTGAAATAAATTCTGGCTTTGGAAACGGTGCCTGCCTTTACTTTTATAAGTTGCCAAAGTTTTCATTTTATGCGCACCGAAAGAAAAGCACTTTTCTTCCCTCCTTACGTAAGGGAGAATTAAACAGTGTCCCGGGGCTTAAAATAAATGGTGCCCTCAGTGTCCCCCCATCTCAGTGGGTGTCAGATGGGGGAGGGGGATGTAAATTTAATTCTCTGCAGGAACATTGGCGGGTCTGCCCGTCCAAATGATCAATTTTCCTTGGTCAGACTTCAAGGTCGGGCTGTTTAAACTTGGGGCTGCTGGCGAATTGCGAGGTGTGCGCAGGGGCTTGGGGAAGCAGCCCCCGGCCGCCTGCCCTCTGGATACCGCAATTTCCAGGCACCTCGAATTATCCTCTCTTGGGAAGAACAGCCCAGACCCCCCTAAAAGACGGTCGTTTTCGTCTCACTGTGCAGGAGCTAACCGGTAGGCGATCCCCCCCCCCATAACTTTTCTTGTAGTTTAGAAAGGAAGCCCATTTCTCCGCGATAGGGCCAGTAGCATCGCTTCCCAAGTAGAAGAACCAAGGCCCCATTTTGTTAGGCAGCCCTGATGCCTGAGAACCGCGGAGAGCTTTACAAGGTGCCCCTTCGAAAAGAATTCCAGCAGAGAAGAGGCCGACATGGACATGTCTCCTTTGCGATTATAGTCAAAATAATTTTGAAAAGCGAGAAGTACATTTTACAACGATGAGGCGAAAACGAATTCTCAATACAGAAGCCTCTTCGGTGTACCCTCGATCGCTGAACTAATTAGTCAAAGAAATCTGTTCTCCATAACTTTCTTAGGACTCCAAGTTCCCTTTTACTAACCTGGCAACTGGGTAACAATTTTTTTTTTTAAATGGAAGATGAAGGGTTTAAAAAACAAAACAGAAATTTTGAATACAGATGTGAGCCATTTGGGAATCGTGTGTGTGTGTGTGTGTGTGTGTGTGTGTGTGTGTGTGCGCGCGCGCGCGCGCGCGCGCGCGCCGAGCGCGCTCCTGGGGAGGAAGGGAGTTAAGTGGTTAGGGTCTGCTCCTTTGTGGTGCCTTGGGAAGGGCCTATGGACGCTGTTGGTTGTTTTCTCTTTAAACTAAAGGGAAAAAAGCACTTCCCCTAAGGTGCTGGTGTAAGCTCCAGGTCTCTGCAGGTTCTTGGAAAGTAAGCCTAAACCCTTACCCTCATTGGAGGCCTGGCCTAGCTTTCCAATCTTTTATGATCTGGTATTTGGAAGTCAAAAGATAAAATTGTGAGTGAACGTCTGTCTGGGCAATTTATGGTAATAATGAGGCCTAATGAGGCTGTTAGAAAGATAAAATGTTATTTACCAAAAAACCTGATGGGATAATTTGACTTGCTGTGTTTTACTACTGATGATAAAAAGAATATTGATCGCAAATAAATCACTGCCGCTAAATGCTGCAAACGGTTTGTGTTTACTCCTCTGCAGATCAAAGTCAAACTTAAGATAGAGTAACTGAGAAGAGGCCGGGAAACTGAACCGGTTTCCCTGTGCTGCACAGGGGCTGCAGGGCCTGGCGTTAATATTTTACTGGATAACCCTTCCTTTTGTATTTAAAAAGCAAATGGTGTTTTTGTCCTTGTTCCTGTGAAGGGCCAGGATTAAAATTTTAAATTATCTGTCACCACTACAGATCTTTAAGTGTGAGTGAACCATTATATGCAGATTAATTTGGGAGGTGAGAGAAGGATGCTTTCGTTTTAAATTGCTGGCAGATTTTGACTGAATAAAGACCCCCAGATGCTTTATTTTGATTAACCCCTTCTGAATGGAAGGGAGGGGGTTGGGGCTTGAGTTCTGGGTAATTCAGGTTTGCATAAACTGTTTCATCAGGCTAGATAAAAGGTTTTCCTTTCTAGCTAGTGTAAGATAAACATGGAAATCTGGGTTGCCTGAATTGGTAGTGGTGGTGCCCCCCCCCCAGGGGGGGGATGTTCCTGGGGAGATTGCAGGAGGCCAAGGATCCTGCTGTGTTCTGGAAATTCAAGGCTTCTAGAAGTTTTTGTAGCGTGAACAGCAGCAACAAGAAAAAGGATCTCCTGCTTGGTGGAGGTGCAGCTGCAGCCCAGCTGAAGACGCTCAGGTCTCTTCCCTTCCGTAGAGGACTGGGGGCCTGGGTTCTGCAATGGGGAGTATAGCCAGGGTTTTAGAAGGGCCAGAGTGCCGGCTGGATCAGGTGCCAGGGAGGCCCTAGAGTCCACCAGAGTGAGGCTCCATGCTTTCCCAGCCTGCAGACTCACCTCTCCCTCTCTCTTTTCTCCCTCCACCTCCTTCCTTTATGGCTCTGTGGTGGCTACAGGGCTCGCAGTATGAACTCAAGGACAACCCTGGGGTGCACCCAGCCACTTTCGCAGCCCACACGGCGCCGGCTTATTACCCTTATGGGCAGTTCCAATACGGGGATCCCGGGCGGCCGAAGAATGCCACACGCGAGAGCACTAGCACGCTGAAGGCCTGGCTGAACGAGCACCGCAAGAACCCGTACCCTACCAAGGGCGAGAAAATCATGCTGGCCATCATCACCAAGATGACCCTCACGCAGGTCTCCACCTGGTTCGCCAACGCGCGCCGTCGCCTCAAGAAGGAGAACAAGGTGACGTGGGGGGCGCGCAGCAAGGACCAGGAAGACGGCGTCCTCTTTGGCAGCGACAACGAGGGCGACCCTGAGAAGGCTGAAGACGACGAGGAGATCGACCTGGAGAGTATTGACATTGACCAAATTGACGAGCGTGATGGCGATCAGAGCAACGAGGATGAGGAGGACAAGACCGAGGCGCCGCGGGCACGCGCAGCCCCCGCCACCCCAGCTGGGGATCAGAGCTCCCCTCTGTCCACCGCCGACGCGCTCAAGTCCCAAGACTCGCCCTTGGGCCTGGCTAAGGAGGTCCCAGAGCCGGGCAGCACGCGCCTGCTGAGCCCCGGCGCGGCGGCTGTCGGCCTGCAGGGCGCGCCCCACAGCAAGCCCAAGATCTGGTCACTTGCTGAGACAGCCACGAGCCCCGACGGCGCGCCCAAGGCATCTCCACCGCCGCCCTCCGGCCATCCCGGCGCGCACGGGCCTCCGACGGGCGCGCCCCTGCAACACCCGGCCTTTCTGCCCAGCCACGGACTGTACACCTGCCACATCGGCAAGTTCTCCAACTGGACCAACAGCGCTTTCCTCGCGCAGGGCTCACTGCTGAACATGCGCTCCTTCCTGGGCGTCGGCGCGCCCCACGCCTCACCCCACGGCCCGCACTTGCCCGCACCACCGCCTCCGCAGCCGCCTGTCCCTGTTGCCGCCGCCGGGGTGCTCCACATCGACAAGGCCTCGGCACGTAGTAGCCCAGCATTTCCAGGTACTGGCCAAAAGGTCCTAGACACTTGGATCCCAGCATGCACAGTCTTAGGGGCGGTGGTGGGTGGGTGACTTTATAAGGAGGTAGGCCCCAAGAGCTGAGCTGTGGCCAAGGGCTGGCTCCCAGGAAGGTTGTCCATTTGGGGAAATTTGCCTGAGCCATAGGGAGGAATCCGGCAAAGGGGCACCTGCGCACCGTCCACTTTTTCATTATTTACCTGTTCTAACACTCAGCCTCTCCTGTTTCCTCGCAGAGAGAGACCTAGTCCCCAGACCGGATTCGCCCCCGCAGCAGTTAAAATCACCCTTCCAGCCGGTGCGCGACAAGTGAGTGCTTTTTGCTTTTGCCCTGGTACTGGTCAGAGCAGGGTGGGGTGGAGGTGGGGGTCGGGCAGTCGTATTGGAAGGACGCTGCTGGGCGTCCTACTAGCCGGAGCATGGAGCCTGTCGCGCGGCGGCCTGGCCCCTGCCAGAGCTCGGCTGGTAGAAACGCGGCTCGGTGGCGCAGCGTCGGGCCACTGCTGTCCTCTCACAGCTCCCGTCTCTTGCTGTTTCTTGTGCAGCTCGCTGGCCTCGCAGGAGGGAACGCCTCGGATCCTCGCAGCCCTCCCGTCTGCCTGATTAAGGGTCTTCTTTTACTTTTGCGGGGGGAGGGGGGAAGGGTTTGGGAGGGAGGAGACGAGGGAGGAATTAAGACAAATATTTGAGACTGGTGTAAAGGACAAACACGACGGCGGCATCAATGATTCTCATCCATCGCTTTCTGCAGAAAGGGGCTCGTCCTGCCGGAGCGCGCTTCCAGGGGGACTAGCTCTGCCTGCGGCTCGAGCTTATTACCCGATTCGGTTAATGCCCCCACGTGCTTGTGTCTTCTTTTTCTTTGTTTTTCCTTTCTGTATATAGAGTGATTTCAGATTGTAAATAGCGCGTCAGCGAACTTGTCTAAATCATATATTTTTGTCTAATAAACTAAATGAAACGATGCCCACGCTCCCGCTACTGTGAGTCGCTGTGCGCGTGCGCTGGTTGGGGGGGAGTCGGGGTGTAAGCGATCTGAGAGTCCTGGGCTGGGCCCAGGGGCCGGTAGATTAGGCCAGAGAGGCTCCTTCCGGAGGAGGGTCTTGGAACAGTCTTCCACTCAACAACCGCCGTGTAGGATGTACAGTCCTTTGGTTGTGTTTGTGGTAGTGCCTGTGAATTTGCTATACTGTTCCCAGGGCCGTTTCTCACTGGCAGTTTGATTCTCTGCAGCCCTTAGACACGCGTGTATCTGGAGCAGGAACGTAAATGAGTTCAGTTTTAGGCAGTTTACAAAAACGCTGTTTTAAAGTGGATCAAAATGGGTGAAATGAAAAGATTTTCCAATCAGGTTCCCAGAGGACTTCGGGCTCCAAGCCAATTGGACAACTCACTAGTTGTCTCAACAGCGCGTTTTGGCGCTGGGTCGGCCTGTGGGCAACGCATGAATGTCACGGTGTATGAAATACAGCTCCGGGTGTGTTTTATTTACTTAGTTAACTGTAAAGTGGGGAAAATGGAGGGTTTTTATGAGCTGGGCGAGAAAGGTTCGGGGTTCGGGGTTCCCAGCGTGTGTAGTTCGAAGGGCTACGGCGGGTGGCCGGAAAGAGGAGGGGGCTCTGACCACCAGACCCGCTGCTCCAAACCCGGATCGCGCGCACCCAGTGAAGCCCGGACAAATATCACCCCAGATGGCCGCGTGGGCCGGCTGGAGCAGATGCAAGCGGCCGTAGGAACAAAGCGGGAGGAGCCAGCGTCCCGGGCTTGGAGAGCAGTTTTGAGAACCGCGGAGAGCTGGGCAGGGTGGGGGTGGGGCGGCTTGGGAGCCGGACGCTGGCCGACGCCAGCCGGGTGGAAAGCTCAGGCAACCCGAACCAGGGCTTTGGATACCGCTGACTGCGGAATTGGCAAGGACTGTGCCAGAAAACACTTTAAAGCTGCCAGGAGGATGAAATCCGCGGTGCTTGGTGAGGAAAGTCCTAGCGGCGGGTGTCCGCCACTCCCTAGTCTGGGATCAGCTCTTCCCAGCCACCAGGAAACTCGCTGGGTCCCCTCGGTGCGCCCAGGCGGAGGTACCCAGGGGAAGCCGGAGCGCAGTGTTTCTGACCACGGAGTTGGCTGAAGGACCAGCAGCTGCCGCCGTACAGTGCCAGAGCCACACAGCACTCCGGCTTACCCCCTTGCCCCGAATCCTTCCCACCCCTGCCCGTCGACTGCGGAAAGACTGGGGCCTTGGACCTCTGTGCTGGAGAAAAAGTGCGGCTCAGAGGTGCGCCAAGGCAGGTGACTGCGGCACGTGGGCACACGTGTCGGTGCGCGGCGGGTAGGCGGGTGTTGGGGCAGCGGAGCAGCCGGGCCGAGTGGACTTCCGTCCCCCGGCCAGCTGGTGGGAGCACCGCGGGCGGAATGGACGTGCTCGAAGCGCCCTCTATGGTCCGAATGCAGAATGGGGCCTTGACCCTGGCTGGTGTTGCTTCTGAGACTTGGGAGAGCAGGGCACTGGGGCTCCAAGGGCTGAGGCTGAATTTGTAGTGACAAGGCCTCCTGTTTGTCCTTGGGATCACACCTGTGTGTTGAGAGTGCTGCCAGGCTGTTGGCATATGGGAAAAAAATGGGCCCAGAGCGGTATGCTCTACTTTCATTATTGGGATGGGTTTGCTAAATAGAGGTTGAGCCCCCCCCACCCCAGTGCAGTCCTCTTTGAGGCTACAGGGAGCCTCAAATCCCTAGTCTCTCGACATCGAAAAAGCCCTAGAGTTGGATCCTTGGTTCGACTGCATCCATGAAGAGCCCTGACGCTCTGTGCCTCCATCGAGAATGGCATACCCAGGCACACTAGCATGCTCCTCAGACCTCTAAAACGTGGCAGGAGGTGCCTGCTGGCTGACTGTGCAAGCAGAAGCAGACTCTGGTCTGCTGTCTGTCCTGCTCTCTTCACTTTCCTGAATCTAACCAGAGGATGGCTCATGCCATGTCTACTGTCTGAATCCCTTTTTATTTCTTTTTGGTGTAGGACATACTCGGTCGCTCTGCTGGCCTCTGAAGAGGTGCCTGAGCCAGCAGACGCCCAACCGACGGACTCTATAATCTAGGGACTCAATAGTCCAGAAGGAGTGGCCGGATGGTCTGGGTCCTCCTGAGACTCAAGCTTCTGCTGAAAACAAATCACACCTCCAACCTCAGAATTGTTTTAGAAATGGATTTTTAATCAGTTCTTTAATAGCATTGTTTTGCTTTACTTGTTTACATTTTAACTGCAGCCACTATGTAGGTGGAAGTATGTAGGACAGGTGCGGAGACGGGAGCAGCCCAGCTGCCCATGGCTTCATCTCTTTACAAAATTAGGGATGGGCAGAGAATGTGGCAGAGCACCTTGCTTTATCAGTCATGGGAGGCCCTTGGGAAGTTTGTGTCAGTGTGGAGCCTCTCTGGCCCACAGTGCTGGTAACTCTGAAGAAGGGGAGGGCTGAGGGACCCACAGATGCTCCCAGCGGAGAGCTCTCCCTCCTTCCCCTGGGGGAAGGACCTGAGGTGTAGGGAAGAGTTCTTTCTGCCAAGCCTTCTTTGGGAGTGTGTAGGGACACTGAGGAAGGACAAGAAGCAACTGGAAAGGACCCTGGTTACTCAGGTGACAGGGAGGGAGGGGGTCTAGGCCAGCTGTCCCACCCAGCCCAGCTCCTGTACAGTGGCACCAGCCCTGGTGGTGATGGTTGATCTTCTGGAATGCAGTCTCCCTGCTCCCATCCAGCCCTCCTTCCTCTGATCCATTATATTCACAAGCACATTTATCTCACCCACAATATGGAGAATTCATATTCATATCTCGATTATAGTGGTCTGACACTGATTAATGTAATACGGGCCTTGGCTCGGAGGGGCGCCACCGATGAATCATGCCCTGTGAAGTTTAAGTTGTCCTTGTGGACCAGACTCAGGCAGAGGAGGAAGGGGAGAGGGGTGGAGTGGAGGCGGGGAAAGGAAGCTGTAGGGAGAGGGGGGACAGGGCCAGACACACCATGGGGGGTGCACTTTGGAACTGGCATACCCTGTTCCTCCCTCAAGTCTTCAAACCTCACCTGGGTGGGAACTCAGTCCAGTCTCTGGCTACTGTTCTTCCATTCCTGGGGATGCAAGCACCCCAAAGGCTGCCTGTCTTATCCAGGCAGGATCCACCATGGACTTGGGGCTTTCCAGACAGAGACTGGATGTGGGTTTAGGGAAGTATAAAACCTGTACTGTGCTCTTGAAGTGAAAGGGGCCAGTTTGTCAGCCGTTACTGTAATGTAAGAGTTGATGGGAGAAAGCAAGGCTCGCCCAGAGAGGGCCACTTGCTGGGCAGAGCAGTGAGGAGGAGGGGACGAGGGCACACTCTGGCCGGTCATTATGGCCTATCAGTCACAGGGACCTGTAAAGCTAGACCAAATTCCAGCAGCCTGATCCCTCAACACAGGATGGAGCACTGTGGGAGGAGTCAGACAGGCTCTGGGGCCTCCAGGGTGGGAGCAGGGAAGCTTTGGAGCCAGGTATGGGACACTGAGTGCAACCCAGTTATGAGAGGGAATAAAGATGTGGCTCCTAGACTGAAGGCTGTAGGGAGGACATGGGAGGTGGATTGGCCAATGCCTCAAATCCAGGGTAGGGTCCAGAAGGCAGAGAAGAGCCGTAGTGGTCAAGCCTTGAGAGTGGAAATGGAGCCCATCCACCTCGCGGGGATCCCGATCACCTGTGGATGGATTGGGGCTGGTGAAACTGTTGGAGTAAGAGTCCCATCCTACAAGGCCCCATGTGGCCGACGCCTGCCCATCCAAACTATTCTGGGTTGACTCTGGTAGGGGTCCCTCTGCATGATCTCCAAGCAGACCCCTCCAGCTATCCCAGCACAGTTCAGCTGCTGCAGAGCTTGGAAATCTCCAGGCCTCCCACAGAGCAGTTGCTCTAATTATGGCTCTCAAGCTGGAGCTGAAAGGCCTCCAAAGGTCACCCCGTGGGGGCTGTTTGAGGCCTTTGTGCCCTGGCGACCGGCAACTGTCTGCTGGAGGGAAAGTGGGACTTGCTCAGGCAACCATATGCCAGGCCAAGCTGAGGTCAGCCCAGCCAGCACTGAGCCAGGACCCCAACTTCAGGGGCTGTTGGAAATGACTCATCTTCATGTGAACCCCAAAAGACAACTTTCAGTTCAACACAAATGTATTTCTGTCAATCTGATCCTCTATACCAAAGTGGTCCTAAGATGTATATTTTAACTGTTCTTTTAAATGGAGAGAGAAGCATTTAAAATCAACCCACCACCAGCGTGGAGGGTTCTCCTGTAGCGTAAAATCCTGAGGTTGTCCTACCTGAGGCAGCAGAGAGGAGAGGTGGCCTTGAGCCTGGAAAGGAAGCTGGAGTTAGTGGCCCCAGGTGACTTCTGTGCAGTCTGACTTGATATAAGGCAGGGTAGGGCCCTCACAGGACCCCAGGGCGTTAACCTGAGCTTACAGTGGGAAGTCTTCAAGCCTCTGCCCCTCACAGGCTGGGAGGGAAAGGCATTCTCCTCTGGGCAGCAGGGAATCCAGGTTGAGATGTGGACAGATCTCCCAGTAGTCATTCCCCTGCCTCCCCTCTTGGGTGGCGCTCAAGTACAGGACCTTTCTCTAGAGGACTGACTGTTGGATTTCTGAAAATTCTTGGGGCGTCTCTGATTTCCTAATTGGTTTATCCAGAGTCAATCAGAAAGTGTATTGGTTGGACAAGGGGACACGATGGTCAGGCTGTACAGAGGGCCAGGATAAGAAAACACTGGTGACCTAGCCTGAGGCCACCTTCTCCCCAACTCTGACCAGGAAGCTGGTGGAACCCAGGTTCTCAGATGCCACAGAGGCCAGTCCCAGTAGCGGAATGCAGGTTAATTCTAACCTGAAGGACTTTTAGTTTTTATTCATTTTATTTCATTTCTTTCCTTCTGTGCCCTCTGGACTAGAGAAG